GAAGCGTTGAATATGGGTATCTTTTTGGTGCGCAATAAAAAATACCAGAACTGAACTGGTTCAACTTTTACAATTCTGACGTTATCGTTTATTTTTAAAAAGTTCATTCCCAGTCAAATTTAAAACAATTGACAATCTCTGATATATGTTGGACATTTTTAAAGACGTAAACTGACCTAACCAGGCTGGCAAATATAGAAATCTGTTCAGTGGGGTGAGCTTAGCCCTCGTTTTTGATTGAATCCAGATATACTGAATCATGTAAAGGCCTCATCTTATGTACAGTGATAACCAGAAAACTCTGGTATAAGAAGTCGACTTTAAGACACAAATTATGATTTTAAATAGTCCAATGAACATGAGGCACAGCAATTATGTAAACAAACCCGTTTCACTTAATAAGTGATTTATTAATAATTCAATAGTAAAGCTATTTGCTTTGTAACAACATTAAATGCTTTAATATTGTCTTCCTATTCTACAGTTTTCTGGTTATCACTGTACTTACAGAAAAAATATCTTTCACATTTTCATAAAATTATTGTGTTAAATTGCACCTTTTAAAAGGACTGCAAAGGAAAAATGAAAGGGGGTATGGATGAAACCTTAGAATCTCAGGTGTTGAGCGATACCTATAAGACATCTATCTGATATTCCTGTCTCGAGAAATTGACATAAAACAGCCTCAGACCAATACTTTTTGAGTTATGTAAAAAAAACTACAGGGAGGGGGGGGGGGTCAAATTGACCCCCCCCAGCGGGAATAGGGTTAAGGTACATGGTTAACCACAAATGTGTACTTTCAAGTACATGTTAACAACAAAACTGTACTTTAAAGTACATGGTTAACCACAAAACTGTACTTTAAAGTACATGGTTATCCACAAAACTGTACTTTAAAGTACATGGTTATCCACAAAACTGTATTTAAAGTACATAATTAACCACAAAACTGTACTTTAAAGTACATGGTTAACCACAAAACTGTACTTTAAAGTACATGGTTAACCACAAAACTGTACTTTAAAATACATGGTTATCCACAAAACTGTACTTTAAAGTACATGGTTATCCACAAAACTGTACTTTAAAGTACATGGTTATCCACAAAACTGTACTATAAAGTACATGGTTAGCCACAAAACTGTACTTTAAAGTACATGGTTATCCACAAAAGATGATACTTTAATGCCGACCAGAAACTCTGCAAATACAGTGAAACCCTTAATAACGAATACATCGAAAGAATTCATCAAATTTTGTATTCTTCACTTTCTGAAAATGGAATGTTGCAGCTATTTAGTTTTTTAATTAAATGATTATATGGAACTCTTTAAACCTGTTCCCGCATATTCATGGCTATTTTTTTATTTTCGCAAATAATAAAATTTACGTAGTAAAGTATAAAACTCATTGAAAAATTGCCAAGACGACATTTGATAAATTTTTCCGATGTATTCGTCATTAAGGGTTCAACTGTATAAGATATAAAGGTTAAATATGATCTTCGACATACAGTAATACTTTCTAAAGTTACTTTTTTTTTCAAATTCATCGAACCATTTGTGTGCATCAAAAACAATTAAATATAAATGCTGTCTGGTCAGCTCATCTTTACATTCAGAACCCGTTTTTTAAGACTCAAAATTGAACTAGTTTTTTTTTTATATTAATAAAAACAAATTGAGAATTTACTGTTTTGCCGTCTTTATATCCCATTTAAATTTTCTTTGTAAATTTAAACATTAATAGTGTGGCTTAAACGTACTTTACAAAATTCATATTGATTCAAAACTAGACTAGCTAGATTACTCCCAATCTTTTGTATATTTTAGATTCAATCAAGCGTACTTTGCCAGCCCTCAAGCTTTTTCAACTTGTAACATCTCTTTTTTTGCTTGGCTTCTTCAACATATTTTAACCTAATTAACCAGAGATATTTTAATATCCTATCTTTAGCAAATTATCTAAATATTATAAAATAACGAATACGGCCATTTGGTTTTTGTCTATTTAAGTATATTATTATTGGATCCATCAATCCCCCTGCCCCCTCCTCCTTAGACACCGTTGTATAATATTGCGTATATATCTAGCGGCTCTATTATACAAATCCAGCGCCATTCATTATTTTTCCCCACCCTAGGAACCGCTATGTAGATCCCCCCACTACACGATACCACACAACACAACGGTCTTGATATTGAAAATACGGGCATCCCCGGACACGTATATAAACTCCAGACCATCTTACGCCAGACATCAGTCGTGAAAGGCAACTGAAGATAAAAATATATTCAGTATGAAGGTATTATCCTCTTTACTGATGATACAGGGTGTCTCACGAAACGTGATTTTTTCTACTCTTCTAAAAAGTAAAAGAGGCCTTTATATGTCAAATACATTTACCCTTATGAGCAGTTTGAATTATCATGAGTCAGCATTTTATTAAGATTTAATAGATCATATTCAAAATATAATGTTTGGCGAGACACACCGTGCACATTTTTGTTCAATCTTAATATACAAAATAATAATAACACAAAAAATAAAATTTTTAAGATAAAACAACAATTCAATAGACTTACATATAGATGCTTACTTTTATTTCCTTTAGCTTAATAATAACGCCTAATAAAATGTTATGGGATCAGATCATAAAAAAAGTACTTATTCTATTAATGCTATCCTCGGATTAAAAAAGGACCATTTTTCATAAACAAATCAGTTTTATTTCAATCAATTTTTTCCAGGTTTATCGAATTAAAATCTAAATATTTGACCATTTTTAGAAATAAAATTTCATCAAATTGTACATTCTACTTTTAAATATTTTTTTCTTTCAGTTTCTGAGTCTGCTTCTCTCTCTCTGCGTCCTGTTGGTTGCTGTGAGTTCAGCACCCCAGCGTGGGAGCCTGGGAACTGGCGTTGATATTGTCATTCCAGGAGCATTCGGGTTCGGTTCAGGTAATCCATATATCCAACCCATCCTAGATAAAGTCATACCTGGAGTATTCGGGTTCGGATCAGGTAATCCATATATCCAACCCATCCTA